GATCAAAGCTGAATTTTCAGCATCATTACTCCAGTCTTCAATTACTCCAGAAATCATTCTAATAATCTGATCTCAGGTGAGCTCAAACATCATTAGTGCACATGCTCATCAAGAGCTCTTCCGTATCCATGGAAACCGCATCCGATGATCTCGGCTGGATGAAGATCTCAAATCCAGGCCAGGTTTATTTCTAGCTCTCACTATTCTCCACTTCCTCTTCCTCCCACTCTGGGCTCTCTGCGCTCCTCTAACATCAGCGCTCCTGCGTCACGGACTCTGCTTCCACCCTAAACACTTCACTTAAGTTTTGAACAGAACCGTGCAGCTAAAAGAACAATATTCAGAAACTATTCCTGTCCTCAGGAGCCTGCTGAGTTCATTTTCATCATCTCGAGATGAAGAGAACTATAGCAAATCAGATATTTATTGCATCATTGTTCTTTCGCAGAGCTGCATATGCTGTTATCATATGCCGTTATCTATATTCAGACAGGGATGCGAAGCACTGCATTGATGATTCTGCACTGATGGACTCACTTGTGTTGTCTGATGCGCTGTATTGAAAACCTCTTCACAGGATCATATTCCAGCATCCCTGCGGATACAAACATCTCAGATGAAGGAAGCAAAGACACATACTCACACACGATCGACATCAGGATCAGTCAGAGTGCTTTAAAACAGACAGACGTCATGCTATAGGTGGCTGTCATGACTGGGTTCAATACACAATACTGATCTCACCAAACTTTAAACAAAGCCAAGAGAGAGTAAAAATGGTACGTTTGTGTTTTTTAGATTATTACATGATACAGTTAACAAAAAAGTACTGTTCATTAACCAGAACAGAAATAGCCAATAATTCTGAAATATGTTATACACACATGCATACCCCAAACTACATGCATTATGATTATTATTCTTTTAATAAAATAATGTTTTTTATTTATTTTATATTTATTTATAAAATATTTTTAATGTAGTAATAATAATTGACAAACATTAAAGCTCAAATGTAAGCACTTCTATATGACTGAAGAGATTATATATGACTAAAAGCATCATTTAAACTAGTCTGAACTACACACAATACATTGTTTCATTTTTTTATTCTGATACACTGTAACACAATATACTGTTATACCTCTAGTGGTTGCTAGGTGATTACCTATGGATGTTTAAAAATGTTACACTGAAATGTAACATTCAGTGTTAGGAGATAGTTCATCCAATGAGCATGCTTAACAGCTGTGTGTGTGTGTGTGTGTGTGTGTGTGT